GACAGACAGACAGACAGACACACGACCAAAGAGTTACCTGCACCCCACATCACAGCAAAGGCTTCGCAAGCTCAGCCAAAAAATGGAGGAGAAAAAAGACGCTTTTGTCAAAATTTTGACAAAATTTGGACAAAATTATTGATGCAAAGATTCATGAACGTCAAATTCCTGCACTTTGGAAGAGAAAAGGCTGATGGGTGAGTTGGGGCAAAATTTGCCCCACAACGCGTTGATAGTTAGTTTTCAAATGCTTTCAAATTACGAATCGAAACTCATTTGAAGTTTCTCGTAGGCCTACCCCTCCTTTATTTCTACGCCGTCTCCTATGATCGAGAAATTAGTTTAAAATTGTGATTTTGCCGTCCGACCGAAATGGCTGGCTCAGAGTGTGGTGTGGCAAAGGCGGGAACAACACGAGATCGGCGGACGCATTCGTCAGCGTGACTACCGTATCCGGGCGTAAGCGCGAAATAGAAGTCACGGCTCACGCGGCGGCGAGCCGAGCCGAGCTGGACTGCTGAGCCGAACCGGGCCGAGGCAAATGGACAGATGGGTGGCGGAGTGAAAGTGCACGAGCAGATAGAGAAGCGCGACACGGCCAAGGGTTGGACACGTGACACGCGGGGACCGTCGCCAAAGCCCAGCGATCAAGGGAAACTGCTTCACACAGTGTACCTTGTGCATAACCCAAGACTTGTGTTGGAAAAGACGCGCGGAGTGGGGGGAACCACAGGAAAGCGAACGTGTGGGACACGAAACTCTTCTGCCCGGTTATCCCCCAACGTAACTTTTGAATTACACAGTTGCTATTGATTTACCGACATGAACCCTCCCCTTGTCCACCGCATACAAAATGTAAACCTCCTCGGGGAGGTCATCCTTCGGGGGGCAGCGCTGCCACCGCGTCTCCAGCTTGCTTCGTCCTAATTTTCTCCAGGAAGAGCATCCGTCCGGTCACACCCAAAGCCCCCCGCCCCGGCCCAGCCCGCCGCCGCAAGAGGCTCATATCTGGGCCCTAGATGGTCCACCAGGATCACTGACTCAGATGGTATCGGCGCCTCCGACCAATAGACGCACCCGCAGGGCTCTGGTAGCGCGCGCCCCGGGGCGTACTTAGACCGATTGGATCAGAGTAATTATGCGTCCAGGGCGCACCTGTCAGGGCGGCCGCCGCTGCCGCCGCCGCACCGCACCGACCGGGTCACCTTTTTGTGCACTATTACCTTTGTCTCTGCAATAAGCTGACCGGCCTCAACCACTACTGCTCTTTTCCCGGCTCTCACTTTCACGTTACGAAATCGTTCGAAAAATCAGAATGGAAAACATTAAATCACGGTCGGTGAAAGGGTTGAAAAAGAAATTTGAACGGCCCACACTGCAGTAAGAAAGTAAACTATTTCCAATTGCCAAACATAACTCTTTTAAAACCCTCTTGAAACTATGAACAGCGGCTCATATTGGCGAAGTTATTCGCGGGCCATTTTGCTCCATTGTGCGCCGAGCGGATAAGCAGGTGTCATCGCAAACTTTATGCAAACGAGGCCACCATCTACAACGGAACGGCGGCAAAGGAGGAGAGGAAATGAAGGAAAACAGAAAAAAATATGGCTGCTTCCGCGGTCGCTGCTTACTCGGTTCGGCTTCCGCCGCGACATCGCGTAAGAATAACGAGCGTGGATGTCTCCGTCCTGCTCGCCCGCGCAGGGCCGCGCCCGGAGATGGCCAGGAAGTGGAGAGAGACGGAGTGAGGTCGGACTTCCAGACGTCTGCTTCCTGGCGGGATGATGAGTCACTCCGCGATGCCACCGTTTATCAGAGAAAGCATTTCTTTTCCGCCCACTCCTCCCCCATCTTTTTCTCTCTCTCCCTCATCTCTTCCTCTATCGCGTCTGTCTCCTCTTCCCTTTTCATAGCAACGTCCCGTCATACTCCAGTGTCGAAATTCGCACCGTCGTGGCTGGCACTATCTCGGCCACTCAGAAGCCGTTGCTGGTGTTCTGTTTGTGTATATTTTTTGTCCCGGATCGAGTTCGATAAAGTCTTTCGCCATAGATTTCTTCCAACGCTGCCGACACATTTGAGCAAAATCAAATCACAAAACAGCTTTATGCCCGTCGTCCCGTAGCTGCTCTCTCCATACAACAGAGTTGCACTGTCTCTATGACCTGGCCACTCGGCAGCACTCACTTTTCACGCAGCCAACCCCGTTCGAAACTGAGCGCGGACAGGCCCACTTTTCGAACGTCACCGCCCAAGCGAATAGGTTTCGATTCATATTCAAAGAGGTTATGGAGCGGGCCCCGGCCGATGTCAGCCTCGCGTATGACTCAGTCCTGCCAACCTGCTGGTGCCGCCACTAACCGCTTACTTTGGCGGCGTCTTAAGTACAGAGCCATGTCGGCGAGTACCAGTCTTCCCCTACCGGGCTGCCTACGGCACAACAACGCCTCTCCCTCCGCCTCTCTCTCTCTCTCTCTCTCTCTCTCTCTCTCTCTCTCTCTCTCTCTCTCTGGTCGCTATCGGCACGCAGACGTTTTGGCGAGCAGATAAGGTCGTAAGTGGTTATAGGCCCGCTCCAGGCTGCAAAATTCAAATTGATACCCGTTGACAGACGCGTCACGTTTAAATCCTTTCATTTTCGCAACTTTGTTTATACAGGTGCACTGTACATATAGTGACCAGTTAAAAACAATCTAACATTAATCGATGAAATCTCCTTACAGGTCGCTCAAAGCCGATGATTTGGAATAAAACATTTGTTTTGATTTACGTGACTGTTTTCGAGCAGTACGATAAGACAACAGAATCCTACTACTTCAAGAATGTTGCGGATGGGTCGACCTGCTGCGCGTTGCATGAGCTTCTGTATCTCTACTGCACTGCGGCCCTTCGGATGCGCAGTTGCCGGGCCAAATTAAACCCTTAATGCCATTGCTATTTTTATGGCCTGCAAAAGCTGGGCTAC